ACCACAAAACTTCGCGTGAATAATGCGACATGCGGCGATTCATTCCGCGTGGACGCCGCAGAGGATACGCTAAAGCCTGATTCGCATGATGAAATTTCGGTCGCAATTTTCAGTCATGACGTCGCTCGGGCTACAACAGCGTGAACCGTAGCTGAGATGTTCAACATCGATACTGAAAATCGCAAGCAGAATCGGACCAAGTGAATGAGGCATAACAAGTCGTTGATGGTCACTGGTAACAACGATTAACATCTCCGAACTCACTTCTTATCGCAAGTACCGGGCCAACATTTGGTCCACGGGCCGGTGTCGTCTAAAAGAGCAGACGCCGAGCAGAAGCGTTTGAAAGAGCAGACGACAGTTCGAGCAATCAGGCGGCCGTTCGATCTTGAAGACGCACTGAACGTCCGCATGCAGGCGGTCCCAACAACTTTTTGGTATTCCCGCTTTCATGACGGAACAAAACAAATAAATCTGATGACAACAAGTATCCGTGAATTTAACCCAAACTGCTTCCCGCCCAAGCAATCGTGGTCCGACGGCGACTGGCTTTCCATTTTCACGGCACATATCCACGTTCTCGGACGAACCGAGCACATGAAAACTGATCTTCAAACCTTTCTCGACTCTTTTGGTACAGCCCAAGCGGCGGCGTTTTGACGAGAAGGCAAGTTTTTGTCAGGTTTTTTTTAATACAACGCTAGAATACACGTCTCACATAGGGACTTCCGCCTTCAGTCCCAGACCGGAAGTGCGCCCGACGCGCGACCACCGCGCCGTGACGTAACAGAGATGAGTTCGTTGGTTCGTGTATTGCCAGAACATAATTTCGGCGACATATTCACCTATACATGAACTCATCTCCGTTACGTAACGGCGCGGTGGTGGCGCGTCGGGCGTAACAGAGATGCTCCTTAAAACAAAAACCAAAAGGCTCCTTAAAACCGAAACCGACAGACTCCACACGTAACCAGTAACAAAAAAGAACAGGCCACAACGGGTCGACAAAGGACGTAAAAGAAAAAAAAACCCGAACAGCGAACTTTTCCCTACACTTGGCAAGGTCAAACTTTGTACCTACAGGTTGCCTCAAGCTTGAAACACAAAAGTTTATCCCAAGCTTGAAACACTAAAGCACTAATCACGAACGAGCGTGTTGGGGACGAATTAAGTAAGTGCTTATACTTCCTGTTTAACGTCTAAGAAACTAGGGAGTTTTGTGTATTGTTCCAATAATTCCTGTAAGGATACCCGATACTCCTCTGTCGTCTTAGTGCATGCGTAGTATCGTTATTGGGTATCGTTACCGAGCACAAAAACCGTCTACAAGAACTCCCTACCGTTTATCGTTTTTCTAGTGAAATTAAAGACGACGTTGGCAAGGAAAAGCAAGCTAACTAATCTCGAAGGGAAGGGAAACAGAGGTCGTCTTCGCTCCTTCAGCTCCCCTTGCTGCGCTGCCACACTCTGTGCTTGCTTTTTTCGTAAAACTTGATCCATGTATCCCTCCTACCTTGGCCGCCCCAAGGCGGCCGGTAGTATAAAAAAAAAAAAAAAAAAAAATAGCCGGTGATTTCTTCAAGCAGACAGAGCCAGTGAGGACGCCTTCAGCGAACATCAAACATAGTCTTTGAGATGAATAGAGGCAGGTTCTTAATTTTGTTTTCGTTACAAAAGAAAGGTCATTTTGGAACAAGGTCTGGTGGGAAATGCAAGATGGGAGGACGGGTAAACAGCTCGTCCACACTTCTAGACGGGGAACACAGCCTGTCATAAAAACTGGACATGTCAGGCTCTAAAGAGCGTGGGAAAGTAAAAGCTCTTTAGTGAACCGACGATACGTGCCCCAGAACAGCACGGCGACGTGCATGAAAAAAGTTTAAAAAAACGCGGCAAGCCCGGTTCAATAGTTTTCCACGTTTTAAAAATAACAGGCTTATTCTGCTCTTTGCGCCCCTCGTGTGTTTGTTTACCCCTCAGACGCTCTGACGTACCTCTATTTACACCTGGTTTTGACCAATGACGGCGCGCGCTTTTCTGTCTCGTCTTCGCGCGTTCTGTGAGCGCCCTTTATGTTTCCCGCTGATTGTTGTGCCACTCTTCGTATTTACTTCTTTTCAATAAGTCACGATAACGTTCGCAAGCGCGGAAGACACGTTTTGGTACCCCTACTTGCACGTCGTATAAACACTTACTTCGAATTTGACTTCGACCTCGACCGCGCACCTTGTTTTTCATTGGTAGCCTGCTTGCAACAGCAGGGTGACGGTGATGACAACGCAATCGCGGTCTGCTTGGGGTCCTGTGTGATGGGCTCTCACTTCCGATCGAAGTGAGAGCCATTCGTATCGCTCCGACGCTGTTGAAAAAACTCAGCAGACCTTTGAATGAGTCACTTTCTCAGGAAAATAGCGAGGAGACGAGTGTCTAAGCGCTTATGTAAGAAGAGTGGTCTCGATTTCAAATGAAAAGCACTCCAGAAAAATGTGGCCGATATGGTTCGTATGCAAAACTAGCTAGCATAAAAAAAGAGATAAATTCAGAAATGGGGACGGACTATCTGTCTCCCCCCTTGTAAAAGATTTGTCATTTTATCAAGAATCTTTGAACACTCGTACTCCGCCTTCGCGTTCGAAGCTCTGTTCACGGAGTAAGGCTAGGCTGCTTAGTGGATTGAGTTTCGCCACGTGTTCGTCGCACATTTCCTGATGGGGTCCGGCTTTTACACACAAGTATCGTGCCAGTAGCTGACTTTTGCTGAAGTAAACAGAAACAAAAACCTCTTTACTCAATACTCACGTTCAACGGAAATCAAAGAACTCTGTTCGTATTCCTAGAATTCAAGAACTCGGGAATATGCACGACTGTGATGAAAACTATTATCGGCAACAGCAAGCGAAGCCCCCACCTAAACGCCTGAGAGCACGTAAAATTTTCTCCGCCTGTTATTGCAACGGACATGTCCGCGCGCTTGTTAGGAAACGTGGGCGACAAACCGTGATGCCAATCGGCTGCTTCCTCACATTTTTAAAATTATCCTAATTCTCCGGCATATGGATAAAGCCCGTAATCTTCCGTGATTTTTCTCGAATAGCGTCAAGCCTTCCCGAGATCTTAGATGCTAAATAGCGTTTGAAAAAATCCGGAAGGCGCCGAAACAGATCAAATCCGGCGCACGCTTTTTCGTGTGGACGGATAAAAACGAGCGTATGCCGCATATTACCAGCATCATAGAATATCTGTAAGCATTATATTAAGCGAGAGCGAGAAAACCAACATTGTATAGTCCAGTTAGGGTCGCACCAGTACTCGCGTAAAAGCTCCGGGAAGACGGTTTTATTTGTGTTTCCTTGAGGGGTGCGCGCACGCACGCGCTTGCAAAAGACAAAAACATGGTCGCACGGACACACGCAGATGCAATCAACGCGAAGAGAAACCCTCCCGTGGCAGAATAGCACACTGGCAAAACGACACCTTCCCCGGCCCCCCACAGACAATGACACACACAGACACACACACCGAAAGGAGGAGCCGCCAAGCCGCGCCGCGTAAACGGAACCCCACGGCCATGCAGGAGGCTCAAACGTCTTCCGCGCACAGAAAAAGCCTCCCCTAACGTTCGCTAAGCTGCACATGTACTACGCGACGCGGGTACGCACGCCCGCAGTATCGGGGCAAGGGAGCCGGAGGTCCGCCAAACTCGTTGGAGTCGCCGCTGAGTCTGTGCCGGTCCAAACATCCCCCCCCCCCTCCCCCCCAATCCCCATCTGGGAAGCGCTGGTGCCGCTCCGTCTGCAATACACAGTCCCCTCCCCATTTCCGATTTCGTGCTTAAGCCGCGCACAGTCGCACACGCAAAATGTCACATCCTCTCTCAAAGTCCTCCAAAGCAAACGCCCCCTGCAGTTGCTTCCCCCAAACGTTACCAGACCACCCCTACGAATCTCGTTCTGGGCTCTAACAGAAGTTCCTTCCAAGTTTCTGCTCCGTCTGCACTCTATACTAACCGCCACAGCATGTTTGTGCGTGTAAGGGCACCAACATGCTGCAGACACTTCCAAATGTCAAGTCGGCTATCAGTCGCGAAGAGTACGCACACGGAAGCAAATCCATAACGACATCTCCTGAGTCCTGACTCCTAGTTCACGAACTCAGTCCCCATCACATCACAAATTCAGTTCACGAATTCATTCACCATCACATCACGTATACACCAGAGTCACGAAGTCCTTCACTACTGCATCACGGGTGCGTCAGAGTTCACGAGGTCACTCCCCGTCACATCACGGCTCCTTCCAAATTCATGAAGTCAGTCCCCTTCGCATCACGACTCGTTCCGCATTCACGAAGTCACATCCCCTTCACATCACGGGTTCTTTCGCGTTCACGGAGTCACGCCCATTCACATCACGACTCCTTCCGTGTTCACGAAGTCACATCCCCTTCACATCACGGGTTCTTTCGCGTTCACGGAGTCACGCCCATTCACATCACGACTCCTTCCGCGTTCACGAAGTCACATCCCCTTCACATCACGACTTCGTCCGAGTTCACGAAGTCATTCACAGCCCTTCACCATGACGCGGTGAGCGTGAGTGAGTGTGAGTGAGCGAGTTCGTGAGTGACTTCGCCGAGGTATGGACAACTATCCCCTTATATCATGTTCCCCTGGCCGTATCATTCACCTGCACGGACAGCATCAGTGTAACTCTCATGGCCTCTTTAAAACAAATCTGTAAACCCTTAAAAACAAACACAATCTAGAACAATTGCAACCTGCTTTAATTTTTGTTAGTTATCTGTACCAATGAGAGTTTGCATACGGCTCTACAACTTGAGGCGTTTCGATCCAACCCTTCTTCATCTTCATTTGCAGCTGCCACTTCAAAGCTGAAATACTAGCATATGAGTACCGAGCCTGAGGCATGGAATGTTTCTGACTCAACCAGCATTCCAGTGAGCTCACGGTTTCAATGGTGCGACTCCTTTTTTGGTTGTAGGCAATGGCGAGGAGTGCGACCGCTTTGCCGTGATCCGAGGAACGCCGTGCGGAGTCCGAGAGGCGGAGGAGCTCTTGAACGCCTGCATCGAAGAGCAGTCGAACGTCATCACCGAGACCGTCTTCGTCCCTAGCAGGGCCTGTGGTCGCATCATCGGGAGGAATGGAGAGAGCATTCGGTTCGTGCTTAGAAGGAGACGGAGTGTTGGTGATAGGAAGGAACCACGTATGCAGTACTTTTAGCGTTCTGGAAATATGTACATAAAAAAAAAGTGTAGCCGCGGTTTCTTCTTTTTTTAATATACAATTGACTAAAAGTTTTATGTTTTAGGTCACAATCCTATCAAAGTTATGTTTCCTATGTTAAAGGCCAACCTGCCAAATATCTTTAAACCAGGGTGAAGATCCTCCTCGCCACCCTTCACCATTTCCACCTCTTAACTTGATGGTGGGGAAGGAACTTTACTTCTTGTTGCCTATTGGGGCTGGATGATGGGGGATAAGCTCCTGGCTTATCCAGCCCCAAGATTCGGCAAGTTGAAAAATAATTTGCAGATCTGCCCTTAAAGGGATGCTGAACCGAAACCTGGATTCCACAAAACACTGCAGCAAAAACGTGCAACTGGATGCTACAAACACCAAAACAGCACTCGTCCCGCAATATCTCAAACTGATGACCATAATTTTCAAAAAAAAAAGGAGGTGCATTTGACAGATTTGTTTATGTCTTGTTTCTCTGAAAAGGAGAGGGAACGGCCTCGCATCTTTTCCGCCTCGCCGCCTTGAGGGGACGAAGCAAAGAGAGGAGGAAACGAGATATCTTTACGTCACATGCCTCGTCGGCTTGGTTCAATCTCAACCTCCTTTTCCAAAAATACAACTATCTATTTGAGATATCGCCTTACGAGTAGTAGTGTTGTAAGGATTCTAGCGTCCCGCCTACAGCTCCTGCATTGTTTTTTTGAAATCCAAATTTCGGTTCACCATCCCTTTAAGCTTGTTTTTTTATATAAAATGTTTGCTTTTGCAGCTTATCGGGTTTCTGCATGTGGAAGAATCAAGTTTTTATAATACGAAGTAGAAGTTGCATCGACAGGCACAGCTGAAAACTTATAATTTTTCATCTATATCAGTTTGTAATCTTTGCCACCGCATAAAGCATGAATGAAGCCCAGTTTGTCGGCCTGCATAAATAAACTGCGTCACAGAAAGCTGGAACTCTGCGAGAATGTGATGTTAGCAGTAGTGATAAAATGCTAAAGTTCAAGCACATGACGTTACATGGGTCAAAAGACAAGAGACATTATTTCTCTTGTGAGCCGACGTCCACTAAGCCTAGCATTAGTGAAACTGAAATATGAGATTTTCTTAACTGACATGTTTTTTTCACTGAAATGAATGGTACTGGTGCCCACAATTTCAGATTTCAGTTAGATGAATATTGGGCTTACGTGGATGTCGGCTCGTAGAAAAATTTTGTTTCTGTTTTGTACCTTTTGATCCAGTTAATGTCGTGCGCTCAAACTTTACCATTTTATCACCACCCCCGGCGTCACATTGTCACGGAACTTCTGCTTTCTGTGAGGTGTGGTTTACTGTATTTGTGCAGGTCGAAAAACTGAGTTTAATTTTCTTAGTCATTCTTGGCACTTAGCAGTTGTCAATGCAGCTCAGAAGCTCCACTGAATTGCTGTACTTTACGACTGAAAGATTTGTATCAGAAAAATTAAGCACATATGGCATGAAACAGAAAGGCAACTGCAAAAGCGCTCAAACTGAAACCAACCAAGTTGAAGCCTGCCATTAACAGCAGGTGCACCAGCACACTTTTATGTGTCGGTCAGGTAACTGCTCAGCTTCTCAAGAAAGCTGGCAAGCAAACCTGCCATTACAGCCTTCTGTTTAAACTACCAGGTGCCATTGATTTTGCAGAAGTCCCTAATATGTTTAAGCTATGTTGTTTTGCAAGCTTCTTCCATAGGTTGCAAAACTAACCTCTTAGAGAAATCATAAAAAAAAAAAAGTTTTGGAGCTGTATTGTAGCAGGAAAGGAAGTCAGTACAGTGCACTTCTCTTTTGCATGTTTGCTTATGGAAATGGGGCAATGGTATGGCCATACCAGCTCCTCAGGTTGCTTTGAATATCAATGGTACAAATACTTGGCAAGCAGTGAAGGCTACAGCATCCCATCACAACCACCAAAAAAAATATAGCCTTGATTTGTTTTTTTTGCTTTAGAAGTGAATGAACAGACGTGACAACTTTTCTTTTACTTTTTTTTAGAAACGAAGCGAGAAACTTCACATACTTTTCTGCATTTACTGAAAGGGGCAGTGCAACGATTTTCAGACTTTGGCGAATTAACTGCGGAAATTAATCTGTGTCACCTATGGAACGGAAAACCGTAAACCGCATTTTCTTGCGAGAGCTAGTTGTTATTTAAAAAAATTAAACAAATCGAAGGTCGAAGTGGCTCTCAACTCTCCACGCCGACTTTCGAGTGACGTACTCTAGGGGTTCACGTGGTTTCCCCTTGGGCCCTTTCTTGAGACCCCAGTCACTTCCTCCGCGATTGTCGACTTTCAAAGGATTAGCCCCATCGAAGGTCGCGGTGAGCGATGGACACAAAGGACGGTTCGCCACGGGGCTGACGGCCGGTGCAGGAGCGGAGGGGACAGGTTTTGTTGACTTCCGCGTACTCCCAGAGACGCCGTCATTTTAAATCCCGTAGCCGCCACAGGCGGCTGCAGATCGGCAAATAATTTGTTTTTTGCCTTGCGATTCCGCAGCAGAATAGCAGCTTTTGGGGGAAAGGTGACGCGTTTTTGGTCACTTGGGCTTGTAGTATAAACAATATGAAAAATGCAAACTGGCAATTCTTTCAACATTAAAACCGTTGCACTGCCCCTTTAAACAACAATGTCATATATGCATTTACTGGCTCCGCTCTTTTGTGAGCCACTGTGAGGGCCACATTCCATGCATGCGCTCTCCCATTCTTGCTGTGTTATCTAACCCATTTAGCAAAACTTTCTGAAACAGTTGTATGCACTATTGCCAAAGGACACTGACCTGTGTTCTTTCATGCATGTTTTAGTTCCATTCCGCTCTATTTCAAAAGAGCAAATTTCACGGTGTTGCAAGCTTTTCGATTTCAGTGCACGAACAGAAATAGACAAATTTATTTGATGGTTGATATGGACGGAAAGAATCTGCTAAACTAGAAATTGCTGTCGAAAAGGGATGCCAAAATCGCTGCCGTCACTACTCTGATTCTTGGCGAAATGCATGAGCATTTAGCTAGGGGTTCCAATTGGCAAAGGATGAGAATTCTAGTCTCGCAACGGCCCGCATACTGTTATCTTCATTCCAGAGAATCAGTCCGTTCTCCCGGGTGTCGGCAGTTCAGGATGCAGCCACCACAACTTCCCCTCGATCGTTGCCTGCATTCTGCACACTGTTTGCTCTTCATTCGCGAAATGTAGATCCTACACCGCAGTATTGCGAGCTGGAACCCTCTTGAACCTTCGGACATTGTGTGCGCCACTTAGATACATGTTGTTGCACTAATTTTATAACCCGAGCGCAGCTTCAAAGTGGCCATGAGCTAGCAGACGACACAACAACCACAACGGCCAAGCCCCTGTGCGCGCACTTCCGAGTAATTTGGGAAATGCGTGACGGCGAATGCATAGTAAACTGCATCTTATGTCATCTCGCCTGTCGTGTCCCCTGGAATAGCTTGAGAAAGTGGACGTAACAAGTTAATGAACAGAGCGAAAGAGCACGGCAGGAACTGCGTCGCAGCCTCGCTACTCCAGTCGCATCAAGTCCAAACCACGACGGTCCAAACAAAAGACGGCTGCATGCACCATGGCAATAAACGTTAATGTATTTAAAACAAGAAAGCATTCCAGCCAGAAGGACTGTTTATAATGGCTAAAGTGAGCACGTTTGTTAGAGCACAGATTTTCGCAGCGAGGGTGAAGTTTCAACTTCACAATACTCTCGGATCTGTCGCGACGTCAACCCGCGACATGTAGCTTCCACCGTTTGCCGAGTCGCCACGAAACAAAGTGTAACATTGCCGCCCTGCCCGTCACCTTGCAGCCAAATGTGCCGCATGTCATCTGCCAAGATCCTGGTGGACCGTTCGGGAGACGAGCGCGACCCCAACACTCTCAAGTGCATCACCATCACGGGCACCAAGGACCAGATCCGCACGGCCGTCATCATGATCGACGAGAAGCTGGCCGAGGAAGAGGCCTTCCAGCAGAAAATGGCCCTCTCCTCGGTCGGGCGCGCATCCCTCTACCGTGGCCGCCCGCTGGCAATCAGGCCCAACGTCTCCTCGTCAAAGGTACCAGACGTTGTTCTTGTCCCAAAGCAGAATCGGCCGATGCAGGTTCTTGGGACATGCTTGCCCACACCTTCGTGTTTTTTGCACATCTTCGCATACACATTTTTTAAGCACTTGGTAAGCTAACTCGTGCTGGCAGAGGCATATTGACACATGCACCAGCAGAAAGCAGTTCTGCAAACATTTCCTCGTTATGAATGTGAACATTCGGCAGAAGTCTGTCTGGTTCGACGGAAGAAGGCAAAGCCAAAAGTACTGCTCTTTGACGGCCATCGCCACAGAAAAAGAGGCCAATTGGGCCTCGAAACGTTGGGTCTGTAATCGGGGTTGGTTGGACATTATTTTTATTCATTCCCTGGTGATAAAAACTGGCAAGTGTTTTAATGCCCACTGTCAAAATATCTGCCTGTGCTCGTCTTAGTACAAGAATTGTTTCATTAGGTTTTCGTCCCTCATTAAACTATTAGATATGTTCTTTTAATATGCATTTTACCCACCTTTACTCTGTAGGGAGGGGCAGGACTGAACTTCCCCACAGTTAAAAACTCTGACTCATTTCGTGAGCAGTTCAAGGTTATGTGCCGTACTACACCGCAATTTCACAATGTCGTGATCGGGCGTAAAGTCGACGCAGGTGGTTTTTAAACGTTCTTCCTCGGGACGAGCACTCACGCAATAGCACATTTCAAAGTTCACAGCATGGACTAGCTCACAGCTGTCGTTTTTGCTTTCTGTTGGCTGAAAGGTTCCCAGTGTGAAGCCACATCAACATAGATCGCAAACTGTTCCTGCCGTAATGATATGAAAACACGGGTGCGGCCCTGATACGGCCATCGGCATTGTAGGTTATGAAGGCGCTCCATGTCGCGCAGATGACTACAGTCCCCTTGCGTTAATTCAACCTCCATTCAATCGACTCAGCATCTAATTTGACCCTGTTCAGAGGTCGTGGCAAAAGAACGTACATTTCTATTGGAAAAAAAAAAACTCATTATTTTGATCTTCAAATATAAAATATTGGCTAATTCGATTGGCTGCGCCCGTTGGCCGGGCGGTCAGCCGCAATTGGCCGAATGGCCGCGCCGACGAGCGTAATCGGCCGTGCCCGTCGGTGAAAAAAAACGTTTTCAAATTTTGAAGCACGTGCTGAATTGCGAAGAGAGAGAAAAAGAGAGCACATGTTGAGACACGGGACACGGCCGGGCCTTAACACATAACAATCATCGCAACACTGCTGCAGAGCAGCGAGCGCTGTTCTGCAGCGGTGCTGTAATGGCTGCTGGCGGTGGTGCCGGCACCGGCGCTCACAACTAAAACAACTATTGCAACACCCCTACGGAGCGCTGCTCTGCAATGGTGTTGCAATGGTTACCGGTGGCGGCGGCACAGGAACAAACAACCAAAACAACCGTTGTAACACTGTTGCGGAACAGCCGCAGCGGTGTTGCAATGGCGCCAGCGGCGGCTGCCGCCCCTGGTCAACGTTGCCGCCGCTGCACCGAACCTTCGCACTTTGAGTGTGAAGGACATGCACAGCTGCTGCCAACCCCGTGGCGGTGTGCGGCAGCTGATTATAAAAATGTTAGCCGACCTGACCTAAAGTACTGGATATTGCAGCGGGTGCAGCTGGCCGAGCAGGCAGCACGCCCGTGGCCTAGTATTTATCGAGCTTGGCTCCCACGCAAAGAGCCGAGGGTTGATTCCTGGCTGCGGATGCACCTTTTTGTTTTTTCTGTAAATGTCGCGTCCTGGCAAATTCGAGAGCCCTGTAGCTTATTCGAGGTTAGAATATTCTATGCGCAAAACCTTCTACGCCAATTGTTCCAGAAGCCCACGCGTGTGCATAAGGGGCTCCGCGTGGCGAGCCGAATTCAGTCTCGCCCCAGCGTTCAATCCTGCTGTTTCGCTGCCATCGACGCCTGCGACGCCTGCGACGCTAACCTTTTTCTATTTGTTTTGGGCACAAGTTCGCCCCATTAAATGTTTAGTTTGCTTCAGTTTTCATTGCCTCATCAATTGTCATTCGTCACAACATTTAGAATTGTGCCTGCATCTTTTAATTCGACTTTCGGATAATTCAACCTAACTTTGCATGTCCCGGCAAGGTTGAATTAACGGAAGTGAACTGTACAGTGTAGGCCACATATAACGTATGTCACAGGAGTTGTGAAAATCCGCACTATAAACGGTACCGCGCTATAACCAAAACATAAATTTTTCAGGTTAGAATGCATGCCGTGAGACAACTTACCCTTGTAAAACAATTTATTTTATGTTAAATGAAAAATGAAGCTCACTCTGAATAACTTTCTTATTTCACTAGACTAGTACACTTCTCTTTCAAACGTGTCACGCATTTTGAAAGGAACTAGTGGTTTTTGCCTGGCACTGCCTTTTAACGGCGTTGCGGACGACTTGGTCTTCAATCAGGGATGGGCAGTATTTCAAATACAAGTACTTACAATACGTATTTAAAATACTTTGTGTATTTTGCATTTGTATTTAATTACAAATTGGGTAATGTATTTGATGTGTGTATTTAAATACTAAAACATGGGTATTTCAAATACAACTGCAATTAAATACAATTTTGTGGGCGAAAATACATCCCTCGAATTTATTGTCACTGGCCAGAGCAGGTAGAAAACTATGTTCTGCCCCGAATGCAGTGTATCTCAGTCAAGCACAAGCGTTTAGTGACTGTGATTATGGTGCTAGTCCAGGGCAAGAATAGCGACGAAATCGACCTTCACAGGCAGACTGGCTAAATAAGTGCCTGTGACAACTTGTGATGCTTTCCAGTCTGATTTCCATCCATATTTTTGCCTGGAACATTCTAAATGTGCGGGTCGTCCAGATTTTCGTAACTGGTGCGAGGTGCAACAATAAAACATTCTCTAGCTAGTGCTGCGCGTCTTGGTCTTCTCGGTTCTTTGTTGGTCTATACCAAAATGTAATCAATAAAAAGAGCTGCTTGAAGCTTTGTACTTTTTTCACCTATTACGTCCAAGCTGATTACATTTTTTTTGTGATTATAATTATATTTCGTTACTAGAACCTCGCACACTAACTCCCGAGTGTGCGATGCAAAATTAAAATGAGATACCCAGAAACCCGTTGCAGGTGGCCTGAAGTCGCTCACGCAAATTTTGAGGAATGTATTTGGAAAAGTATTTGGAGGGTGACCAAATACACTTGGTTGTATTCGTATCTTGTACTTAAATGCTTTTTTGGAAATGTAATTAGATTTGTAATTAAATACATTTTTGACGAAGTATTTTGTATTTGTATTTCGATACATATTTGCATGTATTTTGCCCATCCCTGTCTTCAATTATGCTAAGGCATTTGAAAACCTCAATATTGAAGGAGTTCTGCTCACAGTGAACCTCCAGCTTCTGTAAGAATTCCAGTGCGTCTTTACTTGAAACTTCCGGCGTGCTCTCTTTGTCTTCGTCCGACTCATCTTTGGGTGAACTTGCCCCTGAACCTTGCACTGCTGCAACAATAGCTTCATCAGTAGTTGCTTCCTCATGGATAACAGGGTCATTGCCATCCTCATCTGCATAGTTTTGAAACATGTCGTTTGCAGAAACAAAGTGGTTTTCCACAAGGTCGGACCACACGTCGTCCGCACGGATCACCTCGTCAATCGCATCACTGCGCCGATCAGTGTCCTCCGAATTCCCAGCATCGCACACAAACCCTGCGTTGCGAAAACACTTTTGGATGGTTGTGGCTTTCACTTGCCACCACGATGCGATGATCACGTTAATGTCGCCCCTCAAGTCCACCTTGATGGGTCTGTCTCGTTGCAATTTCAAGACGACTCTTTCGCTCATGCGCTTCTTGTAGGGCACCTTGACATTAGTGATGACGCCCTGATCGAGAGGCTGGCTTTTAGCAATGGTGTTCACCGGCAGGAACTTTAAACTGACTGCGCTTAATTGCGGCTGCACATTGAGAGCACTGCGGTTGTCCAGGATAAGAATGACGCACCCTTTTTCTGCGACCATGGCCTCATCGAAACTTTTCAGCCAACTAGCAAGGAACTGTTGGGTCATCCAGGCCTTTTGCTCTGTACACCACAGGCAGACATTCTCGCTCCTTCGAGCAACGGGGTAATTTTAATTCCCGATGATAAACAAGTGCAACTAGTCGAAGTCGTCCATGTTTGCACAAAACAAAACTTTGACACGTTTCTTTGAGACTTCGTGGCTGGAACAGGGTTCACCTCTCATCGTGAGAGTGTGATCGAGAAGCATGTTGTGGCACAGACCAGCTTCATTGGCATTTAGATGTCTTTGTCAGTTTACATGGAAAGCATCATATTGAGATGAATGCGAAACCATGCCTGCATGCTGGCATCGTCGACTTCTCCACTTTCACCCGAGATAACTTTGCGGCTAATGCCGTGGCGGTTTCTAAACCGCTGGATCCATTTGTTGAGGGGGTTGAAGCCTTCGTGTTCAAACAGATGTCCAAAGGACCTAGCCTTCGCTTGTAGCATCTGGCCACTCACTGGGACGTTTTTGGCTCGCACTTCGCGAAACCACCTAAACAAGGCTTGGTGGAAGTCCTCATACTTTGACGTATAAATCCTCTTTCTTGAGAGCGACGCAGAATCTTGCTGTAGCTCCTTTCATACCTGCTGCCGGTTCTTCCAGACACTAGAAACCGTTGTGTCAGCGATGTTGTAGTTGGCCGCAACGGAAGCTTTTTTCGTGCCACTTCGGACATCTTTGACGATGCTCTGTTTAGTTTTGAGAGACAAGGCTTGTCGTTTCTTGGCCATCTTGGGCTTGGGAAACAGAGACAGATCAGCAATGGACTGTAGATTTCCTTACAATATGCTTGACGTGGTCCAAACAGACGTAGAGCAAACCAGCAAGCTGCAAGAAGCGAAACTAGAAACTATCCAGCTACCCTACCCAGCCTTCGTTTTGCGCGCGGTGTAAGAAAAGAGGTTGGTTTTGCGTCACTCGAGCGAGGGGGTGAAA